TACAAGGTGAGATGGAACAGACTACAGACAGAACAGCGGGCATACATTGTGTGATTTTTTTCCCTTTTGGGGCCGATTCTTCAGTCGTGCAGACATTTTTCAATCGGGCCGAGTTTCAGCCTCATGGTGCGTCCTGCGTCGTGTAGTATACAGGGGCTAATGAGGAACGATCAGCCTCTCACGACCACCTTCCGATCAGGAATCGTAAGGTCTGGAGAAAATCAAACGTTTGAAATTCAGACGGCCGTAGTGACGTGTTCATGGACAACTCTTGCTGTTTAAGCTGAGCTACGAGCCAATTTAGCAGAAACTTAAGTACAGACATGTGCAAACAAGGGAGTTCTTCTTCCAGACTGACAAGTCCAATCAGGGGCATCTTCTGGTGCTCAGTCTGATGTGGTTTTTCGATGTACAGTGTGAGCAGATAGGTCACATCAGAGCGTCGGTTCACACAGTGTGAGAACATACATGGTGAACTGTGAATTTTTAAACCCTGTGATTTCCTCGTACAGTTTGAGCTGTCGCTCCGTTCAACCATTGAAAATATCGCACAGTGTATGCCTGGCTTTAGGCGGCTTCACTGGATACTCTGTAGAGATAGAAACTCAGGGTGGTGACTTTGAATCTAAGACGGGCCACAACTATGAGCATTAGTAACCAGCCTGGCTCTGAGTTCAGTCCGATCCCAGAAGACGGAGCAGAATCCAAGCGGGAGATTTCTCCTCAGCCTGCAGCGGGTGCCGCCCTTAGAGCTCAGAGTGAATGTGCAGAGCAAACAAATGAGCGAGCGCCAGCCGACGCCGAAGAGCAGCAGTATCCGTGAGGAGAAGTCCAAAGCCGGAGTCGGAAGACAGGTCCAAGTTCGGTAAACCAGGAATCAGTCCAGAACAGATCAGACTAAAGCCGGGCATACACTGTATGATTTTTCATACGTTGCACGCAGCTCCAGCTCACACTGTACAACGAACCCTAAGGGTTTAAAAGTTTACAGCTCATGACACTCTGATGCGATCTATCTGTTCACACTGCACGTCTTTAAACTATGTGGCACTCAGCTCCGCAGTGAGATGGAGCTACTCGGACTCGTCTATCTGGAAGCCAAACAAGTAGAAGAGGAATATGAAGCTCACTAGAGTGAAACGCGCTGCCGTGGAAATTTGGGCAATTTTGTGCTGAAAGCTTTAAAAAGAAAAGGCAACGACGTATTTGGACAAAGACATGGCTGAGCAAACGTGGCTAGTAAGGTCTGTCAATTTTACAGAGAGAACTGCTTTTCACTCGTACCCAGCCATGCTTCTGTGTTTTCATCTGAGAGGAAGAAGAAGAGTCCTTGTTTGCCCACTGAACAATTTGCACCTTACGACGGCCAACTGAATTTCAAACATGTTTGATTTTCTCCCAACCTTACAATTCCTAAACGGGAGGTAGTCGTGAGAGGCTGATTGCCCCTCGTTACTCCCTGTATGCTACACAACGCATGATCAGGCCTGAAAAGTGCAAACAAATCAAATAGTGTATGCCCAGCTTAACAGAGCAAATACAGAGGCAAAGCAAAACTTGGATGTCCCAACAGCAAAAATAGGTCAGAATCAGAAAATCAGAATGATATGGAATCACAAAAGTTACTCTCACAAACAGCTTGAATAATCTGGCTCCGATGGCAGGCAAACAGGCAGCATAAATAGCTGCAGAAACCGGGGGATCAGATTAAAATATCATGAAAAACAGGCCAAATTACACCCTGAATGGAGTAAACAGTAAAGCGCCAAGAGTATGACAAGCATGCAATCATTTATTGAAACTAGTTATTTAGATTATTTGTTGGAGAGGGTTAGATTAACAAGTCCTAACGAGTTTTTAGAGATATAAACGTTTTTTTTAATAAAAGGCTTGCCTAATTTAATAAATGGATTAAATTAATATTTTGGTGCACAAATGTCAGCAGAGTAATGGTTTAGATTAGATTTTAGCTTGAGTATAATAATTTCACACTAATTAAAAATGGAAATGTCTCCCTCTGTCTTAACAAATCATTTTGGAATCTCGTAGCAGAATCAGTTCAGCGGCTGCACACGTCGGACACAACTGGTCGATCACATGGAAAGCAACAAGCCTCCAGTTTCTGGTTGTTGTAATGTGATAAAATGAGAAGGAAGGGTGAGCCAAAAGAGAGTTTAACAGGATTAAGTGTGCATGTGTTGCTTTTGTGTTTTCCTAACATAATGGCCCAAGAAAAGACTCTAATCTATTAGATCAGTTGATCTGTTTAGGTTAAAATGAGAAGAAACTGTTCTGATTGGCAAAAATAAAGAAATATAAGACATGGGCCACCTCTGACCAAAGGATGTCCTTGTAAATTTCTAATCGAGGGATAGCTGTGGCAATGACTGTATCAGTTGTTGATATGTTGCCTCGTTAGAGCCACTCTGACATGCGTTGCTCAAGCTTTTTTTTTTTCCTTTTCTGGAAACTGCATTGGTGTGACAATCCTCTATGTCCTCACAACAACTCTGTGGATGTTTCAGTCTCAAACCTTGGCTGTCAGGAAAGCGTTTAAAAAATTAGAGACATCCAGATCCCAGTCATCCTAAACTTTAATTCTGGTTACAACTTTGCCTTTTTCAAGTAGATTCCACACATTAAATCTAATTCATTTCAATTCAGTTTATTTCTGTATCGCCAATTCAAAAAACAGTTCATCTCAATTCCCTTTATAGAAACAATTCAAAAGACAATATCTGCTATTCTGTCTAGTACACCCTCAGCTGGGTTGCAACTTATTCAATTTGCAGTATTTTGCAGAGTTCATTATTCTGTCAAAGGTTTTCCCAGAGAGTGTGATGAGAGCACGGCCGCTGGAAATGCTTTTGAACAGGGGGTGCTGTGAACATTTTTTTTTTCTTTTAGGACAAAATACCTATGAGCCTATAAGTCTATTTGCAATAAAAATAACTGAGTAAATAGATTGAGATTCACTACTTTATTATTATATACACCCCATTGCACACAATCAGGGTCTGTAACACACAGACACTTCTTTTATTTGCACCATGCTTTTAATTTGAGCTACAGCTGGTTGTCATGGTTACAGATGTCTAAATGTTCAGGTGCGCTCTGAGGTCATGGAGATAAAGTCTAACATGAGCGGACAAATCTGAAATCAGTTCTGTGCCATATTTCCTCCTCGTTTCTGTCTTTATACTATGGGAATTTACTAGTCTGCTGCTGTGAGCGGGATACCATGCACTAGCTTGTTGACATTGCCATGACAACATAACTTCCATGGACTTGAGTTGATTAGACCTCATAATAATACAATTTAAATCCAAATACACATAATAGTAAAATTAAAAAAGGCAAAATCATTTCTCAAGCCAATAAGAAATTCATAAAATTGTGCCAAGTATTTTTTATGCATATATATATATATATATTTTTTTTTATCTCATTCTCTCCACACTAGGGGGTGCTGCAGCACCCCCACTTTCCACGGCCATGGATGAGAGATTAGATGAGTGTGAAAGATGTCATACAAAGCCATTTGACCTGAGCCACATCTTCTTTTTGTGTTCGAAACTTCATCATTTCTGTAACCAATTTACTATTATTTTATCTAAAGCCATCAAAACTAAAATTGATATGAATCCTTATTTAGCTATTTTTGGTTCCCCAGTAAAGTCTGTTGGTTTTTCACACCAACATATTGGCTTTTACATCACTTATTTCCAGAAGAAAAATTTCGCTTTTGTTTGGAAATTTCCTAAAACACCTTTGATATCTCAAAGGTTTTAGAATGTTCTGTTATTTCTTAAAATGGAAATATATATATATATATTTAGCAATTTAAGAAAACTATAAAAGATGAGACAATAAAAGGGGTTCCTTTATTCATTTAAATTAAGTTTATTTCTATAGCGCCAAATCACAACACATGTCATCTCAAGGCACTTTACAGAGACAATTCAACCAGATCATCCAGTCAGATTGATCCAGCTCCACAGGCGGCCCCTTCCAGGAAAAACACAGCCAGACAGACGAGCTCCGAGCTGGTGAAAAGGGGTCTCCATGTCTTCCAGCAGTCTAAGCCTATAGCAGCATAACTGTAGAGATAGCTCAGGATATCCTGAGCCACTCTAACTATAAGCTTTATCAAAAAGGAACCTACCCTTTAAAGTAGACAGGGTGTCTGCCTCACGGACTAAACCTAGTAGTTGTTTCCAAAGGAGAGGATGATGTCTCCATGGTTCTGTTTTTTTCTTTTACATTTTTAAGATGGATTTTTTGGGATTCCTGCCTCTGTTACCTGTGTTTATTCAGTTAAATTTTCAAGAAACTCACCCCTGCCTCTGCATTTGGGTCCTCTAACCTCAACCAAACCCTGACAGGGTGTGTGTTTTTGTGAGTTTATTTTGTTTTTTGTTTATTCAATTCATGTGAGTTATATGTGGCCTTTTGCATCTAGATTTGGTTTGACTTGACTTTTGTCCATTGTAGGTCGACTGTTCAATGGGAGGAAAAATATGAAAATGTAATAAGGAAAATTTTGTATTTTCTCGATATTTCTCTATCTGTATGATGGGTCTGTTTTATGTGTTGTCTTCTCAATTCAGAGCCCCCCCCCTACCTGTCTTTGCCTAGGGCCCCAAATTTTCTAAATCCGCCCCTGTTGCAGGGCACTAACCCGATATTTTTATTACGGTTTTTAGTCTTGTAAAGACATTAGAAATAACATTTAATAAGAAATATGTTTGTGTGAATCAATCAGATTAACTAAACTGAATAAAGTCATAAAGCTTTATTCTTTTTTTTTTTTTCTAAATTAAAACGACTACGGTGAGCGTTTGTTTACAGGGGAGGTCCAGTTCCCAGTCAATGGGACGGAGGGCTGCTCCTTCAACCAATCAGATGATAGAATCACCGGAAAAGGCGCTGTGAAGGGCGGGACCTAACGCTCTAACAACCAATGAGCGATGAGCATCCTCTGAGCAAAGACAAGTTGGCAGCCAGGGTTCAGCATTCTGCTCCGTAGCCACGATGAACGCAGTACCAGGTCTGCTACTGCTGGTTCTGCTCTTTGGGACAAGGTTACAAGAAAATGACGGTAAGCATCATTCCGTGGATGTTTAGAGGCGGTTTTTATTTCTTCTTTTGCTCTTAGCTCCGTTAGAAAGCTCTTTGTTGAAGAAGCACGTAAAGAGAAGAGTGTGTGTAACTAAGATGGCGCAGGGTCTGCGGTCAGCCTGCTGCCGCCTGTCTGGAGAATGTTTATTGTCTGGCTGTGGGGGAAAAACAATGCAAATAAAAAACAACAACAAGGAACGAAACAAAGAGGCTGTGAGATTGAAGGAGTGTTGGAGCTGAAGGCTTTTAGCTGAGCAGATAAAGGTCCTTTAGTCCTCAGAGAGCGGAGCTGCTGTTTATCGCAGTTTTAGCTGAAAGAAAGAAAAGTTTCTAACGAAATCTTTTCAAAATAATAATCAGTTTCATTGTCTTTGTGGTTTGGAGGCCGGTACAGTGTGTGATTCTGTGTGAGCAGGCAGTTTGTTATAAAGTGACTTGTTTTAAATCTAAGGCATTATGTTGGTTTTGGACAAAGGTCAAAGTGCACAACCCCCCCTTTTGTGTTTTGAATTAGTATACAGCTGCGTTTTAAACGGCTATCACCATTATAGTGGATCAGTTCTAATAGTGATCCCCTGCAGGCCTGACTTTTAGCACTTTTATCACCTTTACTCACTTTCACCAAGCTGAAGTTAGTTTCTGATTCGGACTAGTCCCCATATTTAAGATCCGCCATTAAACTCTGTTTACATTTATAGTTAATAAGAATATTCCTTATTTGTGCACATTAATGATGTTTTTCATAAAACTCCTCTCTCTAAAATGCAATCAGACCCCCCCCCCTTCAGTGTCCACCATATTGGATCAGTCCATTTGCTGCACATGTTCAGAAAGGTCCAAACAGACAGCAGCAAATAATTTAAAAACAAACGATGCGGAGAG